TGGCCAGCCGCCCCGTCGACGAGTCGGTCGATGTTCGGCAGAGGGTAAGCGTCTTTCGGACATGCCTTGTTCAGGTTAGTGTAATCTGTGCACATCCGCCACTTGCCGTTTGGCTTTTTTACCATCACCACATTGGCCAACCATGTAGTGTAGTGGACTTCTCGGATAAACCCCGCATCTAGGAGTTTAGAGACCTCGCCTTCTATTGCTTTTTTCCTCTCTTCCCCCGTTTTCCTCTTTCGTTGGGCGATTGGTTTCGCCTTTCGGCAAACCGCAACATCTAAAAAGGCCACGGCACGACCTCAAATTTGGGCGTTTTCAGGCCACTTCTATCAGAACTCTCGGCATGATTTCCAGGCCACCTTGGCAACTCTAGGAACCCTCCATCGGAGTCCACGCGTCGATTTCACAACGCGTAATCCAAGGAGGGTTCGGCTCATCGACGCCGAGAGCTCAGTGCAGCGTTACTTCAGGAGATTAACCCCCCCCCCCCCGAATTTAGGCCTCGCGAGAAATAAGGCCGAGCAATCCGAACGCCAGGCGTTCAATGGCTAAGTTCTCTTTATCGTCTTCATCTTTTCTATCCTCGACGCTGAGGGGGTTGTATACCGTATGGTGCCGACTAGGCCGAGCAATCTGAACGCTTTGCGTACCCGAACACGCCGAGTACCCGACACCACCAACCCCACACGAATGTACGGAACTTATCGGTACGGTCGGTCAAGGTCAACGTCATTACCAGCTTAATTACGGATAAATTAATTAGCATAAACTTCGGATCAGTCCCCTAATTTCCCGGGGCCCAACCCATAATCACGGCCCAACACGAACACCTATAAATAGAACTCCTGAGAGGTACGTAACTACTTTTGACCTACCGCATTTATTACGCCGAGTACTTACTTGAGCGTTGGAGTGTCTTTGCAGGCACCCCCCTCTCGCTTCGGACCGCCCGGATTGAACGAGAAGACCGAGACCCAAGACCAGACCTACTACAACAAGGATAATTGGAGTGTGTATCCTAACACAGGAACAATACTAAAATTTTAAATTACCATTCCAGTTGTCACTCAAACATGAAATGTCAAAAACACATTTAGATAAATAATTCAATTTAAAGACTCAAGTTATATGAAATTCTTATTCTAATAAACTTCTCAATTTATTAGAATAAGATAAAAAGAACTTGCTAAAGTGTCCCTGCTAACCAGCCACACAACATAACAAGCACATTATGCCCCCAATGTTGACAGAAATATCATTTGTACAACAAATTTTAGAACAAAAGAATAGCAACAAATAAGAGATAATAGAAAAATATGAGATATGATGAGTGATGTGAAGGGAAAAGATAGAGAGAAAAAGTTTTGTTGTACAAATTGTTGTGTGAATAACACATCTCATAGATAATAGCAACACTGGGCAATAAGGTGAGAATGACAGATGAATCTCATTCCTGCAACAATAAACAAGTAGTGAAAGATGAGCCAGATTGAGAAATCAATATTTTGCACATGAATACATGTTGAATAATATTTCCCTGAAGAGGCTCAAACTAGTCAACCTACAAACAAGTTGAGTTTCATGAACTTCCTATAAATAGCAATGTCTTACATTGATGTTATGAAACAAATAGTTAGATGAACTATGTAACACAATAGCAGTCAAGAGGACTTCTGTCTCCGATGGGAAGATCCCTTCAAAATGCAAAGCCGCAGCCGCCGACTTAGGGACTCCCACTTCTCAAACCTGTCAGACTTTATCTTCTTTGAGGATCTTTCAGCTTTCTTCTTTTTCTTCTTCTTCTTCTCATCCTTCCCATCTTCTTTTGCCTCTGCTGGTATTTCTCTCAAACTTCCCAAAGGTGTCGCAAATACCTTCAAGAGTATTTCAATATTATATACGCATGAAGCACATCACAACCATGTCAATAATGTATGAATTATTAGAATATATAATAGTCTACTATAGATAAGGCCTTGTTTGGATAAACTTCATAATCTCTCATATTTGCCTCTCTAAAAGCTTATTTTTAACTTAAACATAACACATTATTAGGTCTAAAACAAATCTTAAAGTGGGATTTTCTTAAAATTAATAATAATATCTTTTGATAAAAAAAATTAGAAAGATTTTAAAGATGAGTCTTGAAAAAAATTATATTTATATATCTTTTAGATATAGGCCTTTTAGGATGAACTTTTTTTTTTACAAGCTAGAATGAACTCTTAAAAATACAAAAAAGTGACTTTATTATGGACCTTGAAAAAATTATATAAATACGAATGAGAAAAGTTATTTCATTTTTCTTTCTTATTTTTTCTCCAGGAAGTATTTATAGAAATGTTTATCCAAATAGACTCAAAGTACATAAGTTGAATTAAGTTTATGAGAGAAGCTCAATTCATTTTACATTCTTATTTTATTTTCCTATAAGTGCAAAGAAATTTATCCAAAGAGCAACTAACTAAAGCATAAGCAAAAACAGCATAACACTGTTATAAACTAGAAGACAAGTTACCATCACATAAGTTTATCACATCACTTCCAAATCATTTTTGTCCTCAACTAATTAATAGATAAAATATTTTGTGCAGTGTGCATGCATGCACGTGTGTGTTGAGAGAGGCAAACCTCTGAACAATTATCATCATCCCTAAAATTTTGACAAGATTCTTCATCGCTGAGTACTAAAGAAGAACATCTGCCCCAGCTTTCTCTAGCTGAGCTAGTATATGAGTAATAATCATCATTCGGGCCGTTTTGCTCATCCTGTTGAATCATTAACAGTCAATTTTAGGACAAATAAATGAGCCAAGATCTACATGCTCACATTTTAAACCATTAATGCAAAAGATAGCAAATTATTACTACAAAAGTTTTAAGAAATAAAGAAGAGTTAATCATCCATACACTGCCGGTGTAAAGTTTTTTACACTGGCAACCAATCATATCTTTTAAATTATTTTATTTTATTTTTATTTGATTAAATAAGCAAATGACATGGTACTATTAAAAGATATGATTGGTTACTAGTGTAAAAAAACTTTACACTAACAGTGTATGAGTGATTAACTCATTAAAGAATGTGTCGACCTGCTGGGAGCATGTTGGCATAGACCTGATTACGGGCTAAACCATTTTAAGCAAATAAATTATAAGAAATATACAAATTACAAAACAAGAAAGTTATATATCATCCGTGCACCATAGGATGAAAAAAAAAAATTCAGCTCAGGTTATGTTTTGTTGTAAAACGAAGATGCAAATTGTGTGCTCAACAAATTCTAAAGAAAAATATCTTTTCAAAAAAAAATTCTGAAGAAAAAGATAAAGCAGTTACACAGAATCAAATCCAAGTGCATTTTTAGTATTTTACAACAATTCAAATACAAAGAATAAGATGATGTTCATGGTTTAATAGTCTGATTGGAACACTAAGTCATGGTGAATATGATAGAAACTGGATCAGATTATAGAAAGGAAAAGCAGTGTTTATTGATAAAGAATGAATGCAACTGTGCAAGTTTTCAACTTTTTTGCACATCAAGTGTTAAACATATAAACATAGCAATACATGCCGTAAACTGGTAATTTGCTTCCAACAGTGCAATCTAGCTGTGAAAAAAGCCCTGAACAATTTCTTAATTTCAGAGATGGTACTTGACAAACTCACCTTCATATCTGCAGGCTCATCATTGCCATGCGCTGATTCCTCTCTAATCATGGAATCCTGCATTACAAGCAATTAATGAATTAAAAAGAACAAAGATTTTAGAAGAAAATAACAGACAGATAGAAAGAGCCATCCTACAGCAGCAGTTGCTGGAGCAACTTGTGAAATAAGTTCACTAACTGATGCTGTGTTCGGAATGATTGGAGGAGCAGAAGATGAACTCGCAGCATCATCAGTAGTTTCAGACCGTAGACTAGAGAATATCTCACATAATAGGCTCTAGCATGAAAAACAAAAGCAAATTAGTGTTTATATCTGAATAATAATAGTTTATGTTAATATTTCCAAAAGGTGAAATGAAAGTTGATCTCAAATTTTACAGGTTTGGGGAAGTTAAGGCTAGAAGATCCTATATCTCCTTTTGCCTTTTCTATTTTCACGATTTGTAACTGTCACTTGAAGCTTGCTGATGTATCATTGTTTGAGTTCACAAAATACATTCACTAAAGTGCAGATGACATTTTACTGGAATCATCAATTTTGACCAGTGGTAGTGGTCATCATAGGGATAAAAATACTAAGATAGTACTTAATCAATCAGCAAATTAAGACAGATTCCAAATGCTATATACCTCGTTCACAGCAGAACCAATCTTCAAATCCCCTAAATCAAAATATTTCTCATGCTTACGAGCTCTAGGAATGCGAGGAGGGTGGAGGACATTGTAGAAGAAAATGGAAATTGAATCATAAAAGAACTGTGGTCGAGAGGAGTTGTGATCACCATCAAATTTTATGACATTTTTATCTCCCTAAAAATTTAGAGACCAAGTTAGATATTTTGTTTATGTTAAAAGAGTGCAAAACTGCATACTGCTTTTGAAACATTAGCTCCATGGTTTGAAGAATACCATATATGATTCAGAGATGAGATCAGAGTGGTGAGGCTGAATGAATTGATCCTTATTACCATGTCCAAATAAAGCAGGAATGAATGTCTTCCGTGCAACCTGTAAGCTTCTAAAGCATTAAGATAGTCATGGAAAGGAAGTGACTATACTTAACTATTTGCTTAGCCAGAAAATAAATGCTACTATACAAAGAGTATGTTTGAATTAGATTTTTTTTTTTGTTTAAAGTAACTTATAATCAAAATCTTCCTCAGAATAAAAAAAAAAAATAGCAATTCTCCCTTAAAATTAAGTGAATCCAAAGATGCAATTTCAAGGTGAAAACATGCATGATAAATTAAGTTTACATTAATAATTCTCCGGTTTCAAAAGTGGAACAGATCAAGATAAACTTCTGTCATTCTTGATATTAAAAAAAATGCAGAATGAATTCATACCTGCAAACAGTTCAGGTCCATAATATCAAACTTTGCCTTCTTCTCTATAACCCGCCGCATGTATTGTACAGCCATTTTAACCTAATTGTGGAACAAATCGGCAAAATCTCAGACTTAACCAGAACTAGAAATGTCCAAAATATTACAGTCTAGAAGACAATCTAAGTTTAACGCCATTGATTTTAGATCCACCTCGCATGAAAAATGAAAGAAAAAACCATAACAAAAGGGCATTAAACATAAATGCAAACTAAACAATGTCAACCATGTCAAGAATACAGATATGAAGCTCTAATATGAAAGACTTTAACACTTCCTATTTCCTAGATATTAAGAAATCATCCTATACCGTCCATTCAATCAGATAAAATATACCCTGATTAGTATTAGTTAGTAATTAATGCCAAGAAGATGCTGTAATAAATCCATAACTTTCATATTATTAAAAATTTTCCAAATAGAAAAGCAACCCTTAAAGGTAAGGAACCTTAAATCCTGAATATCTTATTTATAAAGCTAATCTTATTAATGAAGAATAATTTATTCTTCAACTTTGGAATTCCTTTTCCCATTTGAACAAGAAAAGATTAAAGTACGATGCCAACAAAAACTGTGATGGTCTTCGCTCAGGTTGGCCAACAAAATAAATCTGTAAATCAGAAAAGCCTCACTAAACTAAAGTCCATTGAATAGGGTAAACAATTTTCCATGCATGCAGACAAGGACTTTTAACTCAAAACTAAAAACATATGCGTGCCTTCCAGATTCAAGTAGAAGTATAGACTTACAACCTCAAAATTTTCAGATTGATGAGCCACCACCTGTAGCATATATCATGCACTATAGACTGCAGGTTCATATCACTCCAAGAAAGTTACCAGGTAACCAAATGGATATTCTCTTTTTCTTTTTTTACTTTCACGTTTACTAGTTACTACTAAAAAGGGGAAGGTAGAATCTAAAGTACTACACATGCACACACAGAAAGAGGGAGGGAAGGAGAGAGAGTATGTGTACAGTGAACTTTGGAAGTCGAATTTTGTAGACATCAGCGAGCTCCAACATCAGATCATACAAGTTTGAAAAGGCACTATCCAACACCATTCCAGCAATAGAAGGGTCTTCAGCTCCATAAAGAAGGCTACACCACACCGCAGAAAAGTGAGAAATAAATTACAATAGTTTCTCATATATGTGGGTTATAATTACACATACGGAACAGAGGAGGGATGTTTTAACACCCAGCACTGAAGTCTTAAGAGTTTAGCATGAGAAGCCTTTTTTCTGGTTAAGTACAATTAATGTAATAAATGTATATAGAAAGAAATTATTACCAAAATCGTTAAAAATCAAACAAGCTGGTTGAAAGAAGTAATACCTAGTAACAGCACCCATTGATCGTCCCCAAAGACCAATCCTAGATACTTGTTTGTTGCTTCTTAAATGGGACACCGCCACCTTGAGATCGTCTTTCTGTCACAGGAAGCATTAAACTTGAGAAAACATTACAGGAAAATAACACAAATAAGCATGCAAGTTTATACATGTATTGTATTGTTAATTTCATGTAAGATATAATATAAAGAAACTCAAGAGGCAAATTAGTTAGATGCATAAAGGACGTAATTTTGGAAACTAATTAAAGAAATAAATACATGCAAAAACAGGTTACTTACTTCATGCCAACCAAGGCTAACATGATTCCCATCAGATAAGCCTGACCCCGAAAAGTCAAGAGTAAAAACAGTAATATTTGATGGAAGAAGAATAACAGCAGCTTCATTGGCATCTGCCCTACATCCACTGTATCATTGTACATGTACATACATATCAAAAAAGAGAAGAATGAAATGAGTGTGCCATTCTGAAAAAAAGATGTTAAGAAATGGTCTTTATAGAATTTCTTGCAGTGATAGCAGTATCCAAAAAAATTGGCATACCTATTCCCATGGCAATATATAACACAAGGAAGAGAAACATCTTCAGGGAAAGGTGAAGGTAGATAATGACTACACTTCAAGGTATAGCCTTTGGAATTCTTGAGCTGCAAGGTTTTGGAAAAAGAAAAAAAAAAGGAACATTGTGGTAAATTGTAATCGTAAAGTAACTTCTAAAAGTGGGCAATAGTTGTTGAATCTAACAAAAATATGTCCATACTTGCCTCCAAATCCTGCCTTTGGTATGTTCTTCCTGCGAGGGTGAATTCCTTTTCCCATAGGTATTGATCTGGATCATATTCAGCCCTGTATATTTGACAAAGAAGATACTCTGAAACTGTCAGACCGAGTAGAGCCACGAGTAGAGCATTGAATTGACTTAAGAAAAGATAACCACGAGTAGAGCATTGGATGCAAGGGTAGGGGTAAAAATATGTCAGGTCGAACTAGGCTTTAATGGGCCTAAGCCTAGCCTTACTTGAATAAGATATATCAGAGTGGCACAGCGGAAGCATAGTGGCCTAAGGTGAAGAGAGGAGTAGAGGAATTTGTGTACTCGTGTGTAGTATGCCAGAAGTATAAGGTAGAACATTAGAAGTATTTAGAATTTTTACAGCCTTGAGACGCCCCATTTTGGAAGTGAGATGGCGTGTAGATAGACTTTAGTTGTAGTTTTGCCTGATTTGCTTAAGAAATTCAATTCTTTTTGGGTTATAGTGGATAGATTCACCAAGTTTACATGTCTTACCCTTATTGATAATAGATATTCCTTGGAGAAATTGATAGAGTTGTACATCAATAAGGTAGTGTGGTTACTTGGGAATTAGAAAGCAAGATGCGAGGAGCCTACCCATTTTTATTTTCAGGAAAATTTCAGGTACGAAATTTCAAAAAGGAGGGATGAATTGTAACACCCCGATTTTCACAGATTATTTAAAGGCCCAAAGCCCAAACAAGGACGATTTAGTAGCCTAGAACGGGTCGTTCCCAAACTGGAACGAGTCGTTCCAAACTACTAAAAAGGCTTATAAACCCGATGATCGAAGCCGTATCCGGTCAAATAAAAAAAATTAAATGCAGTACAAGGAAGTTGTCTTAGGTCGTCTCCCAAGGACCATCTTTTTCTGTCAAAGGCTTAAACACACAAAGTTGGGGGGGGAGGGGGGTTTCATTTAGATTTTTTTTCAGTTTATAACACAATAGAATGCAATAAAACCCAGGTAGCACAACAAATAAAAAAAACGGATTGGCTCCCTGTTCAGATTGCAACTCTTTTATCCCTGGTTCTCAAAATATTTCTCTGTTCATAACTTAATCCTTGTTCCATCCGAGTTAACCAACTAAGCGAAGATTAACTCAGGATTTCCCTACCCGAATTAAGCAAACGTATACAACATTAAACCTCCCCACAAGATTAAGCAACCTGTGAGCAACCTGATTCATTAAGCATGACGACATCGTAGGGATCAGCCTGATCAAGACAGGTCCGACAGGCGCCCCTACAGGGAACGAAGCCGATCAAGGGGCCGGAAGGAAGACGATCCGACACCCCAGCCCCAAAGAGTCATCAACACCATTGCCGGTGGATTCGCAGGCGGTGGTTCTACCTCTTCGGCACAAAAGAGACACCTCTGAGCCGTCCGAGTTGTGCACACAGTTGAACGCACTCAACGAAGGATGTCGGCCATCACGTTCACTGAGGCCGACTTTAAAGGCATCGATCCCGATCAGGATGACCCCATGGTTATCAGCGTTGAGATCCACAACTGTATTGTTCGAAAGACGTTGGTCGATCAAGGAAGCTCGGCCGATATCCTCTACTGGAACACCTTCAAACAGCTCGGCATCCCAAAGGCCGAGTTGATTCCTTACAATGAGCCGTTGGTTGGATTCTCCGGTGAACGTGTCCAAACCAAAGGATACATCAAGTTATCCACTCGCTTCTGCTTCGATGGAGCCGATGCTCGAGACATCCCGATAAAATACGTGGTTGTGCATGCCAACACGTCATACAATATCCTTCTCGGAAGACCCTCCCTCAACAAGTTGGGTGCGATCGTGTCAACCCCACACCTAGCCATGAAATTCCCTTCCGAATCGGGTCGGATCATTACCATCCATGCCGATCAAAAAGCGGCTAGGGAGTGTTATTTCGCTAGCCTTCGGTTACCTCGGCTTGAAACGGCCGATTCGCGTGGAGTGAAACGAGTGCACACAGTGGCCCAAGAACTTGATACAATTGTGGACTTCGACCCTCGAATGGAACAGGACGAGAGGGTCGAACCAATTGAAGACCGACATCCTATTGTCATCGGGCCGACCGACCTACACGTGACCTACCTGGGCGCCAATTTGTCCGCGATGGAAAGGCGCGAAATCGGACAAGTCCTTAGGAAAAACAAAGATCTGTTCGCATGGCGGCCGGCCGATATGCCAGGTATCGACCCCAATTTCTTATGCCATAAGCTCTCGGTTTGCCGAGAGGCGAAACCAATCGCCCAACGAAAGAGGAAAACGGGGGAAGAGAGGAAAAAAGCAATAGAAGGCGAGGTCTCTAAACTCCTAGATGCGGGGTTTATCCGAGAAGTCCACTACACTACATGGTTGGCCAATGTGGTGATGGTAAAAAAGCCAAACGGCAAGTGGCGGATGTGCACAGATTACACTAACCTGAACAAGGCATGTCCGAAAGACGCTTACCCTCTGCCGAACATCGACCGACTCGTCGACGGGGCGGCTGGCCACAAATTTTTGTCATTCCTCGACGCTTATTCCGGATATAACCAGATGAGTTTAAGCCTTCTAATTCTTCTTGAATTCCAACAAATATAGATGGCCTGAGTCTGATCTGTTTACATGTTATAGGTCTTTTTTAAAGGCCTGAGCCTGACCTACATAAAAGTTTGACCTGGCCTACAAATCTGTTTAAAAATCTGACCTATTTCCACTTAGGAAGTTGAATTAGGTGAATACAATAAAAATATCAGAAACAACAGTAATTTAAGTCTGGTGAAATTTGTCTCGTAGCTTTGCCAAAAATGATACATGCATGTTCAGTTATAAAAAAATACAATGCAAAGCGAATTTCAATCAAACGAAAAGAAGAACCTACCAGCTTGAACACACAAGTCCTCATAGACAATAGAATACCACCCAAAAGCTACTCACTTGTCAAACTTGGAATGTAAATAAACTAATGGTGAGCCACCAACCAATACAGAAAAATGTAATACCTGGGAGGCCGAATAATGAAATTGATGAATTGTTCAATCATCTTGCTTCAACAGGTATCTCAGAGCGGCTCCACTTCATGAGATTACAAGTAGGATGGAGCCTCTGAGAACCTCAAAGTCAATTCACCCCCATCTGTCAAATAAGGACGAAACTCCTCAAATTGCACCTTGATCTCAAATCCTCTAAGATAGAGGAAGAACCTTACTCCAGAATTCGAATGTCAGACATTAGTTATGGACAATCATTTCCAACACAAGCTACTAATGCCCTATTCCTGTAAGAAACAAACCCCAACCCCTACTAAGAATGTGACATTTTGAATCAAAAAAATATAGTAAAACTCAGAACCAAAACTTTTTCAAATTTACAAGGAAGTTGATCCCAAGGAGAGTAAAAACCAATAAACCGAAAGCATTTCCAGAACCAAATGCCATTATTTTCAACAAAAGCAGCCTCTAGAAAAACCATAGAAAAGGCAAAGTATCCAGAAACTTTTACCCCATACAAAAGCTCCTTTTGAACCCCACTTTTTTCCATCATCATTGCATCAACTTTATTCAAAGGTTAAAAATTTCAAACTTGGGTTACATTATACACGTGAGTCCCAGGAAATAGTCCCCAAATGGCAACAAAAATGGTAAAAGCTGATAAAGCAAGCCAAAAATATGGGCATAGAAAGGAAACAAAGAGACAAAAATTCCTTCTCAGATCCCACATTCAAAATGCCACATTTACCATGCTCATGATTTCATGAATGAATATCAATGAACATGCCCTCTAAATCTGATTTTGGCAACAAGAGGAAGCAAAAACCGGTAAAATGAAAAGAGAAGAATAAAAAGAAAACAACTTTACCAGAATGTAGAAAAGGGTCTGGGGGAATGACCCAGAAGCAAAATGCCAATCTAAAGAGAAGGAATTGAAATGAAAGAAAGTTTTGTTTTTGTTGTTGTTTTTTGTTTGTCCTTTGGATTTTACTGAGCGGGAGAAATCATCGGAGATGAGAAATGAAGGAGAAGATCAAAAACAGACAGAACATCTGAAGCAACCAGCTGGAATTTCCTTAAATTTGCACTTTCTCTCTTTCTTATTCATACATTCATGTTGAGGTTGTCTCATTAATTAAACATCAACTAATGAAGTCTTGACAAATTTAGTATATAGTTGGATGCTTTAAATATACATAGACCAATAAAGTTGCTGCACTTTAGCATGTATTTAATTACGTGAAGAGAATCTTTGATTGAAATATTAAATATTATTAAATCACATTTAATAACTTCATTAATTAGTATTTACTCTCTTCATTAAATATAAATATTTGGTGTTTTTACATTCTTTGGAAATTATTTAATATTGTATCGAAAAATGTTAAACAATAAATTTGTTAAGACACTTCTTTTAATACATACTCTTTAATTAGAACTTGTTAAAATCTACAAAATTATGCAAGAAAATCATTAAATAGAATATGAAATTCATTAAATTTTGTATTTTTAATAAATTTCAATCAATAAAAAAGAATATATTTATAAAAAAAATTCATGGAAGAGCATATTGTTAGAATTTTTTCTTAATATACATTAATATGTTAAGTCCAAAATACCCTTTTTTTAATATCTTTAATAAGAATAATGATGGAATATAAATATCTATTATTTGAAATATGTAAATTATAAAAATAAATAAATAAATAAAACAAATGAGAAAGCCTAAAATATAATATAAAAAATTATGTATGGAGGGAGTATATTAATATAATATTAATTATTTTTTTTCTATTTTTATCTCCAGTAATATTCTTTAGAAAATTATTGTGTTGTGTTGTCTCTAATAAAAAAATTATTAAAATTTATAAGATTAACTTTTCTTGATCATATAAAATTATTTAAGATAACACGCAAATGAAGTATATATTTCAGTGTATTTCTTTTAACTATTTATTTTCTCATACTTTTTTTATAAGATTTAATTACTTAATTTATTAAGATTGTGAAGGATTAGTTAAATTAGTTGATAACATTGAACTTATTCTAAAAATAAATTCTAAAATTATCCTTAGCATTAATGAAATTCTTACTATACCCACTACTTATTAAATTTAGAAAAATGACTTTAATTAGAGATATTTTTTATTAAAAAATAATTCATACAAAATATATTTTAGATTAACTTTTATAAAAATGATCACGTAACACTTTTAATTGGTAGTCTTATAAAAATAATTGGAGGGAATAAAAAAATTGTAGAAGACTGTAGTTAAATAATCAATTAATTAATATTTCCTTTCTTTCTTTTTTAAATATGTTTTTGATACACGATTTGACAATTACCAAAAAACCTTTTTTCAATCCTACCAAATTACCCTCCTTTCAATTGAATTTCAATCTATTATATCCTTTTTAACTTTCTTTTATCTCTTTAAAAATTGAATTTTAAAATTTTAAAAAATTAATAATTAAAAATAAACATTATATCACAATTTAAATTATTCATTATAATTTATAAATATAAAATATAATTTACATATCTAAAAATATTTATCTGTTATAAATTTTAATTATAATATAATTTATAAGTTAAATATATTTATTATAGGTTTTAACTATATAAAATAAACATTTATGGTATATAAGGTATATACGGAAATACTAATATTTTAAAAGTTTAAACTTACACAATTTTCTCACTTTTAGATTGTGGCAATCTAATAATTCAGATTGGTATAGTTTTTTTTTTTCTTCTTAAAATGTATGCATCACCTTAAACATTTTGTGTTAGTTGATGCATTAGAACTAATGATAGCCTAAATAATAAAAAGTTTCTAACAATAACAACTGATAACACCGTGGAACGCGAGTATTGTGTCACTGGAGTTTTAGGAAAATGATTTGCGTGTCTGATACTTTATATGCAATCCCTGAATTTTGTGTAGATGCAATGAAACGTGAGGATCCAAAATTTACAAGTTATCAACCACAGGTGTCTTGGATTTGGCTCTATTTTATGTAGTCATTTTCAGGTCTCTTTCTTTTAAGAATATTTTTCTCAAATTTGAAGCTTTTCAATAAAGTTGAAACATTTCCTTTCTGCATTGAAAGATATGGGTGGAGTTTTGCAAAGATGGCATGGTTGTCATTCCCCTCTTTGGACTTTCAAATTATGCTTCTGTCACCCCAATTTATTCTCACCAATTTGTTAGATGGTATCGTGTGCTTTTCCTTTCCTTAAAGAGAGGGTCCACTTGGAATTTTAATGTGTACGAACTATGAAGCATAAACCAATGCCATCACATGATCATACATTAGTCACTTAGGTTATATTCTTTTGATAAATAATTAAACATTTCTGAGGAACCTTGTTCTTTGGTTAGGTGTTGGAGCAGGTCTAACTTTTTTGGTGATTACTTTACGACTTAGTTATGAGAAAAATTAATAAAAAAAAACTACTTTTTTCATAAATTAAAATGTATAAGCTAGTTTATAAAAAAAATAATCTCATACTAACTTCACAAAAATCTTATTTTTTAACTTATGTTTATGACTGTTTTATCTTATTAAAAAATATTACATACTTCTTCCTACGTTTTTTTCTTAAAATTTTTATAGAAAATTTTATCCAAACAGATTTTTTCATTTTCTTGTTTTATGGTTTCCACAAGAGCACCAAGAAAAAATCAGTTGAAAGTGAAAACAACCTTTCAGGTTGGCGCCTGTTACTCTTTAATTGGACGAGGAGGATTGCTGTAAATACAGACAGTAAATAACGTGATTCAAAGATGCATGGTGTATTTATAGAATTTGTTAAAAATACCTATTTAAGAATTAACTTAATTCAAAGACTTCACAAGAGTAAATTTGCACAAGTTAATTTTGGAAAGAAAATCGCATATCTTGCACTTCAATCTGAATTTAAGCCAAGGCTTCTTAGGTTGCTGATAATCACTAACCAATACCATCTTGGTATTTCGAAATCGATTTCCAGTCTTTATTATCAATGTGGAAGTAACTTGTAATGTTTATCTTTTTCCACAACATATGATTTACAGAAGCAATATTATTTTTCTTTGGAAACCTATAGTTCTGTATGAATCAACAACCACTGAGTAGCATGAGTTCACTTCAATGAACAAATGCTCAACACCAAGCAGCATATTATGAAGCATTGAGATCCTGCACAAGATCCTCAGCAATGTTTCAGCTTGAATCACCATGTAAACAATTCATAGCTAAGCTGCTAAATTAAACAGATTTAACCGAGGCGTTTGGCATCATATTCCACCCTTCGCCCAGTATACTTTCTGAAGTCATAAGTTCCATAGCTTGAACTAGGTGAGGCATTTTGGGTTCCTACAATAAGTATTGATGCTTCCAACCTTTTGCATATCTATTTGTAAGTTTACCCATTAGGGAAAATCTCAACTTGCTAGCTACTTGGTTTTACTATGCCCTGAAGCTTCCATCCCCCAAATCCTGCGGTGGCAAATGCCTGTAAGATAATAAGTTAGATACACATATTATTGTCACTTCAAAACTGAAACTTTACAATTTGGAAGGTAATTTATTATTAAATGAAACCCTTGCATAGTTGCACTGCTCCAAGATATCCAAGTAGTAATTATGTTTTTTTTTCTTTTGATCCAAGTAAAAATAAACTAAAAGATCAAGTCACACCTACCAAGGAGTGTTTTTCGGAAAAAGATCTTCTCCATTGCTTCCATTACTTTGTTTTTTAAGAAAATAATGTGTATCATCTCCATTTCATTTATTCTCCAAAACCTTAGTAATGAAGAAATGGAGGAGGAACAATATGGAGAGGATCTTAACCTGTGTTTTCTAACCCATTCTGTAGCACTTTTTGGGTGGTGAGAGAGGGGGAAGGGTTATAATAATGGAACAAACTTTCAAACTTAGACATCTCGCCACTAATCTAGCCTTAAATACTAAAGCTTTGTGGACAATCATGTGGAAGATGGAAAATCCAAGTATACCAAGGATAAAGAGCTTAAACTAAAATATAATGTATTATTGACACTTTTTAACAATTTTTTTAAGAGGAAAATAAAAAAATGTAACATTGCTTCTTTTTTATTTTCCTTTTAAGACCTCAAAATTTAGAAGGTGAGCAGTGTGATGGTGGACACAATAGTCCGTTTCCAGAAATTGTTCAGTATCAGGCAGTGTCAGGCAGAATTGCAACTAGTTTTAAAAAGCAACTTTGTGGAAATTCATGGAAGCAATGACTAGTTATCTACGATTACAGTTAAGGTAACACATTAGGGCTCACAATTTTATCAGATATAGGGGAAGGAGTAATTTCCAGGGAGTGACGACCACAAGCAAAACACATTCTACATTGTGCCTGAAGTTAATGGAAGCTGGAACTATGCTATGTTTGGTTTGGGTGAAAATAGAAAGAAACAAAAGGAAAGGAAAGAATGAGTTTGTCTTTGTTTGGTTTTGGTGTAAATAAGGAAGGAAAGAAAACCTTTGTGGGTCCCACACTAAATTTCTACAAGAAAGGTGCTAAACAATGCAGGCTACCCCATGCCAGAGCTAATGAGTAACGAGTAAGGAAGATAGATATTATACAGTGATTCCCAGACCATTATAGCATGTGTCACTAATTCACAAATACAATTTTATTACTGATTTCCCAAACCTCTTACCAACAAGAGTCACTTAACACTCAAAATAACTATAAGCTATCAAAAGAAACAAATGAACATTTTTCATAAACTCTACTAAAAGCCTAAGTATTTATGTGAAGATCAAGAACAGCTTTTACGCCTTTATGACATCTATAATCTATAAAAAGTACAAAATCTAATCCAGAGAATCACAAATAGTATATTATCTATTGGGAAATTGCAAATTGTGATCCCTAGAATTTGGGGTATGTTCAAATATTATGGGTCCAAACTGAATCGTTCTTACCATCATCCTAATAAGAAATCCCCATTGGAAACCTTGATCAACTTAAGTAAAAATAAAAAATAAAAGAAGAGGTTCAATGTCAACTCTTGGGAAAACATTTTCACCTGCCATGCAAGTAGACAATAAACTCCAATTGCATGTTCTACAGAAAATGGTCTAACCCTAAATTTATAACCTCCTCACGATATCGATTCAAAACTGCAATAATTAGAAGTTAATATGTGCACAAGAATGGGATAGTTTGCAAATAATAAGCCCATAAAACATTTGTGCATGATCCCCGGTGAATATTTTTTGTAGAATAGCTGAATTTCATAAAAGTATAAAAAGAGGTAATCATTGATAGATAGCACCTAATATGATGGGAGATAGTTAAATTGACTTGAAAGAAAATACACTATATGCAGTTGTACAAGGTAATGAAATCAAACCTCATCCCAAGATTTTCCAGCAGCCTCAAGAAGTGCAGCATTGCATGTCTTTAATTCCACAGAGGCCCCAGAAAACATTGATGCCGCTTCTTCCCATCCCCTATTATGTCCCATGCACCTGTATACCACTCAATGATCAAATATCCATCACATCTTATCTATCTTAATTTGTAAATATCAAATTTGTTTTTCTAAAAAAAAAATGAAAAGATATTATCCAAAAATAATAAATGGCCCTTAGAGAATCCTTGAAAAATTAACCAGATTGCTTCATTACGTATAAGCTTTATATTACATGATTGAGATAACAATCACCTACGCACATAAGGTGATCTCCAGGCTAGATTCAACGATATGCACTTCAAATCCCCGTTGTTCAAAAAGTTGAAAACAATTGGATATGGAAATGGGAAATGTGAAATGTGACTCCACTGACTATCAGTTTTTGGCATCCACATGTAATTTCTCAATTATAGCAAATTCAATCTGCAAATATAGCATCAACTAAAGTATGGTTTGTCCATAGGTTGTTTCATGCTAGCATGAAAAAATTCAAAGACTTATTTATAATGTAGCTTCGATCATCGACCTCCACCTCCAAATACCAAGCCAAAAAAAATTTAGAACCTTTCGTAGATACTCACATTACAGTAAGTACCTCATCCCTTGAATATCTACAAATAACCTTTTGAAGATGCTCTGCGGTTTGCCCATCCATAGCTGCAATAGAATAAAAACTAGAAACAAAATGAACCTCAGCTTCCACAAGCTCCTGCACTTGCTCCTGCATTATCTTAAGTGTCTCCTTAGTCCGCGCCGCATCACTGCAACACCACAAATCAATACACAAACCAAAAACCCCATATTCATCCCAATGACCCCCAAATTCAAATGTCACAAATCACAATACAAAACTGCTAACCTAGACAAGATAAGTTCAGGAATCCAACCCAACTGTTGGAGCTTGCGCGAAACTCTCACAGCATCTTCCTTCCCTGACTTGCTCAGAGGCCGGTCGTGGTCTGCACAAAAAAAAAAAAAAAAAAAAAAAAAAAAAAA